AAAAAAAAAAAAAAAAAAAAAAAAAAAAAAGAAGTTTATTTTGCCGAGGTTAAGGATAGGCCAGAAGAAAGGAAGAATCCCAGAAACACAGTCTGTGGTTTGTGCCTTTCTCCAAAGATGATTTATTTTGAGAGCTTCAATATTTAAAGGGGAGAAGTGGACTGGAGGGGAAAGAGTAAGGTTATGGTCCCACTACTGAATCCACAGGTCGCAAGGGAAAAGGAGCAGGCGGGGAATCGTCAACTGAGTATTCATCTCACTCAGTAAATTGGCACTGTACACCAGATAAGGTGAACATGCGGTAGCTGCCGGTGGGGGTGTTTAACCTTGTATCTGCAGCTTTCTTTTTAGGAACAAAAGGAAAGGCAGCTTTTTGCATGACTCAGTTTTCAGCTTGATTTATCCTTTTGGTGTAGTGAATTGGAATCCTGAGTTTTTCTTTTCTTTTAGCATTACTCTCGCCCCACGGTGTCGTCCCCTTTCAAAGGCTGCCCTGAGCAACTCCCTCCCCCCACCTCCACTACACCTGCCTCGGGGGATGTTGGACACCCAAAGGCCAATCCCAAATCCATCTTTGATTTTCCTAAATTGATATTTTAGAACAGATGTTGAAACTGCAAACTTACCAGAGTGCTGGAAATATTTACTTGTATTGCCTTTCTGTCGCCCCAAGGGATCGAGGTCCATCTTCAATGGACGCCTCCTTAGTCCTCTTGCTTTTAGTCTGTAGTGGTTTAAATCTTGTTCTTTCATAGAAATATTCTTCTTCAAGAGGCTCAATATGTTAAAATAATTTTCTTACATTTTTAGAGTATGTATCAAAGTCATTTTTAAATAACCTATTCCTGATCAAAGATCACTAAAATCAGATAAATAATTGCAAAATTCACCTTAAGGGGGTATCATGCACTTACCTGGGTTAAATATATAATTCTGCCAAGTTAGCAGAGAGATGACTGGTTTTACAAAACTGGGAGGGTCCTATGTAACTTCTCTTTCTGCTTTATCAATGCTCAAAGGGCTAAAACCCCAAGAAATGGGTGGTTTGGGGCTTAGAGCCATGAGCTCCTACAGTGAGTGGCTCCTGCTTTAGAACTTAGGAGAGCTGCCCTCCTCTTTACACTTGAGAAAACTGGTAATGTGTGGAGTGTGACTTTCCCTTCTGAATGGCCCCACTCCTTTTGACTAAGCAACGCCAAAATGTCAAACTTGTTTTCAATGTATATTTTAGAGACTTTCAATTCTCTTTAAGTCAGGAGGGGTTTGACTTCTGTGGAACTGGCATGAGAGGTTTTCGTGCCTGGTGTCTACAGTCTGCTCCTTTCCTCCTCGGAGACAATCTCTTTGTTGTATTTCCTTATAAGCAAACTCTGAGTTGTCTGACTCCGTCTGAGTTGTACACGGCTTGGGCTGCAGAGGAGTGAGAACAGGTGTTCCACCCAATCTGCAGGACTCCTTCATCCGTATTTCCAAAGGCAGTGATAAAATCACTTTTAGATCTGAATGTATTTTGTGTTTATTTTATTTATTTATTTTATGTATTTATTTATTTTTATTTTTATTTTTATTTTTTTGGAGACAGAGTCTCGCTCTGTCGCCCAGGCTGGAGTGCAGTGGCACGATCTCAGCTCACTGCAAGCTCCACCTCCCGGGTTCAGGCCATTCTCCTGCCTCAGCCTCCCAAGTAGCTGGGACTACAGGCGCCCACCACCATGCCCAGCTAATTTTTTCTACTTTTTAGTAGAGACGGGGTTTCACTGTGTTAGCCAGGATGATCTCGATCTCCTGACCTCGTGATCCGCCTGCCTTGGCCTCCCAAATATTTTGTGTTAATTTTAAATCAACACTAGTTTGGTTCTATTTATTTTTTCCCCTACTGCATTAACTCTTTTGAGACAGGGTTTCCCTCTGTCATCCAGGCTGGAGTGCAGTGAAGCACCATTTCGGCTCACTGCAGCTTCTGCCTTCCAGGCTCACGTGAGCCTCCCCTCAGCCTCCTGAGTACCTGGGACTACAGGCGCATGCCACCATGCCTGGCTATTCTTCGTATTTTTTGTAGAGATGGGGTTTCACCATATTGCCCAGGCTGGTCTCAAACTCCTGGACTCAAGCGATTCACATGCCTAAGCCTGTCAAAGTGCTGGGATTGTAGGTGTGAGCCACCATGCCTGGTCCTGCATTCACTCTTTAATATCATTCCTCAAAGTGTCTTTTAGCTGTAATTTTTTTTTTTTTTTTTTTTGTCGGAGTCTTGCTCTGCCACCAGGCTGGAATACAGTGAGCAGCACGATCTCGGCTCACTGCAACCTCCAACTCCCTGGTTCCAGCGATTCTCCTACCTCAATCCTCTGAGTAGCCGGGAATATAGGCACATACCACCATGCCCAGCTAATTTTTGTATTTTTAGTAGAGATAGAGTTTCACCATGTTGGTCAGGATGGCCTCGATCCCCTGACCCTGTGATCTACCCAGCTCAGCTTCCCAAAGTATCTCTTTTTTATTGTGGCAAAATATATGTAAAATTTGCTATTTTCACCATTTTTGAATGTACATTTTAGTACTATTAAGTACATTCACATTGATGTACAACCATCACCAGCGTCATTTCCAGAATTTTTTCATCTTCTCAAACGGAAACTCTGTGACTATTAGACATTAGCTCCCAATTCTCCCTCCTCCGAGATCCTGGTAACCATCATTCTACTTTCTGTCTCAATGAATTGACTATTCCTGGTACCTCACTTAAGTTAAAGTCCCTTTGAGATAAATTTAATTAATTGAAATATTGAACAAATATAGGAGTGTTCACAAAGTCTTAAATAGATAGAGGCTGAGAATCAAACAAACTTGCATTTCCATCGACTTCCTTCTATGCAACACCTAAGTCATGATTGTTAAAGTTAGCCTTTCAGATTTAGCTCTCTGAATTCTCTGGTGACAAACTGCTTGTTGTTTTGTTGTCTGTGTTTCCTGCTGATTTATTACTGTTTCTTGTTGTCATCTCAAATGGAAAAGTGGAACAGGCATATTTAATATTGGTGTTTCTGCTGAAAATCCACTGGTGTTTTCAGCTATGGAACGAGTAGAAAAGAAGCAGGTACATTTCAGCAAATGTATGATGACATCAATCGCAAAACGAATGTTGACTTTAAAGGCGTTAAAATAAAAATATGGAGGGAAAATATATACATCTTAAAATGAATGAAACTCACTAATTACAACTTATGAAGACAGGTCAGAGAAGTGGAATATTAATAGTTGGCCAGTTGGTCATTAACACAAAGATATGCCAGTATGGCTAAGATTTTTTGAAAGAGATTTTATTAGCTCACCATCTACCTTTTACTGTGGGGCATGCATGTGAGTCTTTATTCTACTTTTCATCCTTCTCTACAGGACAGATGACTGTGAGAGAGGGCTGCTACAGAGACCTGAAGTTTCAAGTAAATACATCTTTCTGCAATCCCAAGACTCGACCTGTCACGGGGCTGGTGCCTTGCAAAGTATCCGCCTGTCCTCCCAGGTAAGAAGCATCGTGTTCATCAAAGCAGGTTTCCCAGGTTGCAGACGTACTCAGCGAGTCTTATAGCTCCTGATGTAGACAGAGAAGTGCTGATGGCCATCATGTCACTCATAACAGTGGAGAAGCAAAGGAGACAAGAGCTTCCTGGACAAGGGACCTAGAGAGTATGTTTAGTTGGGAAGTGGTCTGGAAATTCTTGTGACTGCAAGTGGACATTCTTAGAATGGCGTCCTATTTGTTGTATTTGTGCTTTCATTGGTTGCAGGCTGGCAGGAGTGATAACACGCTCTGGTGATAATGATGCATTCTCTCTTAGCCTGCTGTCCTGTCCACTAGTGTGTGCTTTTCTTGCCGAATGAAACTTGCTGGAAGAACGCATCAAAAGGCCTGCCAGTGGGGAATGGACCCTGGATTCCTCAGTGCCTTGCAAACATACAATTGTGAGGGCTGGAGCCACAGAAAGTCAGGGTTCTTGTCACCCTACTCTACCCTCACTGCTACTGCCCCTAGGAGTTCCTAAACCCAAGCTTGGGTTCTCTAAGGCAGGACGTGGGGAAGGACCCCTTGAGGCAGCCATGGTCCTACTGCACTGTCAGGAGCTATCACGTCTGGGCAAGGCCTTCATCCCGCTGTTCTTCACTTTCTTCATCTTTATGTGGGACACGTCACAGAAGGTTGTGAAAACTGATGCAAGATTTTTCTCAGGCTCTTTGCTGGACTCCCAGCAGGGGCACCTTGTCTACTTGGCCTCCTGCACTCAGCCCCTTGTGGGAGGGAGGCATGTGAGCAAGTGAGTACAGGATCCAGCTCGTCACTCTGAAGACACAGGAGCAAGCTCCGGGTAAAGCCCGCAGCCAGACCAGGCGTGTTGCCTGGAGAGGAACACAGTGGTACCCAGGCAAGGGTGCCCGTGACCCCAGATCCCCAGAGTGGGTGTTAATGTGCTAATTAGCTTTTTTAGTTCCATCATCCACAGCCCAATGGACAGAGGTGTGTTAGCAGCTCAGTCAGCCCCGACCCTGTAGTGTGGGGCAGCTGCCCTCCACCAGCGGGGGCAAAGGGCCAGCCTTTCTGGTACCCACACTCAGTGGGCCCCAAGCTCTTGTCCAGCATCCAAGAAGAATGAGGTCATGCTTGACCACTGAAGGATGGTGAGGGCAGATAATTTTATCAAGCGATGAAAATAGCTCTCAGCAGAGAGGGGAGCTGGAGAGGGTATGAAAATGGCAGGTCTTCTTCTCCCAAAGTCAGCAGGTCTCCTCCCCCAAGTTAGGCCATCTCCCCTCTACCAACTGAGCCTGGGGTCTTTAGAGGCACAGGATGGGGGCAGGCCAGGCCATATGTACTATTGGAAAGGGCAACATTCGATTGCTTAAAAGGCATTATTGAGAAAGAACCAATTGCAAGAGAGTAGGCAAACAGGAATGGAAGTTCTCCCTCTGGTCTGTGGGTTTTGGGCTGCTTTTGGCTTGAAGTTGGGGTTTCGTGGGGACTTGCCCCTGTCTGCCTAGGATTTCTCTGCCTCCTGCCTCTATTAAAGTGCACCTGAGATCACATATTTACAGAATTAAATTCTAGCTCCAACTAGATCTTTCAAATAGCCCAAGACACTCGAAGACTTAATACAAGATAATCTAATACATTTTGATGATAAAGATCCACAATAGCTGGCAAATTGATCCCAAGTTTGCTGAACTATGCCTCAAAAGCATGAAACTGGGTACTCTCCCCGAGGTAATAAAGTACAGGAAGGTGGGAGACACTGTCTCTTTTTGGAGGTGTTACCCCTGGTCTCTCTCTCAGTAAAGAGAAGGAGGTCACTTACCAACATTTGAAGAGCCAGGACCCTTCTTGCAATCACAGTAAGGAGGACACCTCCTTGGGAAGATCTTGTCCTCCCAGCACACCTGCCCCTGATGTGATCGGGGACCTGTCACCTTATAAAGCCACCAGCCCTGCCTCAGTCATGGTTCCTGAACCACCACTTCCCAAGACCTGCTATCGAGAGAGATGCAGTCAGAATTTACACAAGAAATTAAGTGCTTAAGATGCAGCACACTGAGACATGTGACACCCTCTGGGGGACTCTTTCGGTATCAACCAGGGCCTGTGGAGTTGATGCACACCCATGATGATGCTCCACGGCCCTCAGCTGTCCCTGAGCCAACCCTGTGGGCCACTGCAGGAGAGCTGGCTGCTGGCCTTTCCCACCCTGACAGGCCTTCAGCCTGTGCTGAGCTCCATGACGAGAGCACAGCCCACTCACCAGGGGCTCCCTCTGTGTCTGGAATGACACACCAAATACAGACATGCCCACATCATTTAGGAAATAAGCCCCATGGCTGGCTGAGGCAGTATGTAGCATGGCACCGTTGTGGGCAAAAGTGATCGTCCTGTCCGAAGGAAATGGAGGCCCCTTGCTGAGTTGTGTCAGAGAAAAATGAAGCCAAATACTGGGTAAAGTGGTCAGGAGAGATTTTAGTCAGTGATCCCTGCTGCAATAGGGAAAACATTGTGGCCTGAAGTGAACTCCCCTTAGATCAGCAGAGACGATTGGGCATTTTACAGGGAGAATAGAAGAGCAGGGAGGGGCAGACTCAGGGCTCAGGAGAGTTGGGGAGGTGAAAACCTGCAAAAAGCATGAAGAAAGGTTGGTTCTTGTGAAATCTCTCAGTTTGCCAACTGGCGATCATAGAAGTGAGGCTCCCACCTTCCTACAGAGACTGGGAGTCAGGGGTCCTATCTTCAGGTGTCAGCCAGAACAAACAGGAAATGCTTTGGGAAGCCTTGAGATTTCTCAGACAGGCACTTTAAAAGGGGCTGGGGTTATCTTAGGGATGTAGCCTTCAGCTGTCAGAAACCATGTTAGTGTTTCTTCAGGACTTCATAAGCCCAGGTGAGGCCTTGTGGTGAAGTGGGCTCAGAGGAACCTGGCTAGAGTTTGGCCAAGGACAGAACATTGTCAACTGCTGCAGCAACTTGACCTCCCACCCCCTGCTCCCTAGACAGTGGAGTCTGCGTGCATTCCAGTTGGTGTTGACATCACTGTGACCTTGATTGCAGGTCCTTGCTTATATGGAAATTGGGAGCATCGCTTCCTGTGCTGAATTCCTCTTTCCATACCGTGTTTAGTCCAGGTTTGTTAAGCGAGAAGCATCTGTGGTTCTTCAAGGTACCTAGTTACCAGTGCTGTGAAGTGGGGAAACCACTAAATTAGACTTAAAGAAGTGTGTGTGTGTGTGCGCGCGTGTGTGTTTCACATGCAGGAGGAACTAGGGTTACTAGTTCCATGTGGAAGTAAATCTGTCAGGATGTTAAAGCTCAGGGTAATTGGAAATGTTGAGTGCTTGAATGCATTTCTCAAGCTAGTCGTATTAATGGATCAAGCATAGCCTTGCAGTCTAGTCAGCCCTGGTCTACTCAGTGAAGCCCGTCTAGAAAGAATGCTAGAGAAAACTCACCCCAACACAGGAACAAGTTACCAGTGTCTGGGCTCCTAATTGTGTGCTTCGAAGTATCACATAATTCAGATACGAAGTGATAGTTGGGATACCCCTGAAGAGACCCCTTTGCATCTGCAAACTCCACAGGACTAGGCATAGAAAGCAGGAGAGCTGGCGGCCTCAGGGCAGCAGAGAGAAGCAAAAGCAGTGGCAGAGGGGAGCAACTGCGTCCTTTCCCTAGGACGGGCCTCCGTCCTACCACATGGGGAGAATGTTAGCAGCTGCTTCAGTTCTTTTTTGGAAAGAGCAGAAGAGTTCATTTAAATTATGGTTGCCCATTGTTGCAATCTGCTTGTTGGTTGTTTGTTTTCTCTCTTGCCGCCTCCCCCACAGTGCCCAGAGGGACGTTCTCCTTGACACTCACTGCAAGAGGAAACCTGGGATGTTGGGGATGGGCCCGGTGGGAAAGGAGCTCTCCTCCTCCTGGGGCTACTCTTCCTGGTGTTACCCAGACTTCTTCTTCAACCAAACCTCAGGTAGAACATGCTCAACAGGAGATTATGTGGCTGCTCGTTTACTGTCACTCTTAGTGGTTTGCTGTTTCTGTATCGTCTCACCCTGTTTTAAATCTGTCCAAACATTGCTTTCCAAGTGAGACCATAATACAGTTATTGAATTTTGATAATGGAAATCTAAGCAGCTTCTTATATGGTCAGGTAAAATTGACCTTACCCTCAACCATTATCCAAGACTGTCATCCTCAGCTCTTGTATCCATTTAGATAAATCTTTGTTCCTGGTACAGAATTTTCACACTTACTATCTGGAAATATCTCTTTGGAATTGAAATGACAGGAGCTCCCTTTTCCTGCTTGCAGGGTGTACAATGAGGGTGTGGCTCGCGTCTTTGATGGCCCACTGCCCAAACCTCTACGGGGTGCAGGCAGATGGGCAGGTTGTGGGGCTCTGACCCCACAGTAACGTCTAAGGGTGAATATTTACAGCTCCTGAACTCCCAGTGGGCATGTGTTACAGTGTGCTTTTCTAGTTTTGCCTTCCCTAGGCAACTTGTGTTAATCAGCTCAATTAGACCCTTTGCCTTATCCCAAGGACAGAGGGCTTTCTGTATCCTGGGTTCTTGCCTTGGTGTACTGGAAAAATTGTATCACACATGGGCTTGGAGAATGAGTACAAGGTTTTGTTGAGCGGAGGTAGCTCTCAATGAGGCAAATGGAGAGCCAGAAAGGGGATGGAATGGGAAAGTGGTCTTTCCCCTAGAGTTGGGCTGCTCCGCAGCGGAGTTCTCTGACCATCCCAGACAAACTCTGGTTGATGGCCCCACCGGCATCTACTGGTGCCTATCAGCATGCCCCTTCACCAACGTGTTTCTCTCGACACCCGACCACTTGTGTGTTCTTCCACCAATGTGTTTCTCTTGACGTCCAGCTGCTTGTCTATGTGCTGGCTAGGGTCTCAGGGTTTGTATAGGCACAGGATGGGGAAATGGTGGGCCAGGGTGGTCTTGGAAAATGCAACGTTTGGGCATGAAAACAGAAAT